AACAGACAAGCTACTGTAGCTTAAACTGCCGAAAAAGTTATGCTGGTTCTGACAGAAAGGGGTCAGACCACACAGAGCATCACAGTTTGTTGCGTATAGGGCTGCATAACATTATGACCACCAGTGTGCCCAGTTGCTCAGAATGTTACAGCTGATAGGTGTATGTAACCACTGATCAAAACAACCCTAACCCTAACCTGGTGCCATTTTCAGCTCTCTAATTCAGCAACATGTAAATTCTCTAATCTGAACCCCTTATTGGGTCACTACAGTATGTTACTACGTGATCAGAGGGCTTAATCCACCATATCCACTCACTCTGCAGTCTAAGAGTGAAAATATGGTGAAGAAATGGTTTAAGGCTAAGAGAACAAGCATCTTTTTTTAAACACACACACACACACACACACTTACTTCATGTCAAACTCTATGAGGTTTGTATCCACAGGGGCATCAGCCTCTGGAGCAGCTAGAGACAAGAACCAGTTGAGTAATTAAATTACACTCTAATCCTCCCAGGTCACACAGTCTCACTGTTAACTGTTATGAGGTATGAGTGTGTGTGTGTGTCCTACTTGACTGGGGTTGGGTGCTGGGTTGGTCTGCAGGTTTTGGATGCATCAGGACAAAAGGAAGTTCCACTGCTACATCCCTACACAGACACACACACACACACACACACACACACACACAGACAAATGCATCATACACAATCAACTATCTGAACATCCTTATTACCACCATATTAAAACTCCAACTTCCCTGGTTTACAGCTGTTTGTTGTCTCTTTTAAAAGTTATGTTAGATGAAATAAATATAAGAGCCCTCCACTGATTTAGCATCCATCTGTGACAATGTCAGACTCACAATGGACAGTTTATATTACATCTATATTGTCGACCAAGAACACCCTTTTCAAGCATTTTTGAGCATCATCCCACATCCAAATGCAATTGTCGCACCGAGGAGGTAACTCAAATAAGTTTCAAGATTTATTTTCGTTTTTTGATCTTTACATAGAAGCACAGTAAATCCTTTGTTAATTTCCAAAAACCACTGCTGTGGAAGGCTTGAGGGTGTTCACTTACCCTCCAAGAGACACCACCAGTTTGACTTTGACTCTGTAGGAAACCAGGATGCCCATCATCTCTTTGTTGGTCCCTTCTTTTACTCTGCAACACACAAAACACAAATATATGAGAGAAACAATAACATGTTCTTCAGTATACGTATCCATGAGTTTGTGTGCTTGTTTGCATAAAAAGTGAATCCTTCTCTGTCATAATGCATGTGTATATCTCTGTGTGTACATGGTGCTGGAGGCCAGATTGGTGTCTTCATGCTTTAGCTGTCCATCCAGGGCCAGGCCTCTCTTTTCCCTGTTGGTACCTAGCATGGGGGTCAGAGTGTAGACGTGGCAAGAAGTGGAGCTGGGGGAAACCTGGTCACTGAGGTTGGTTGTGAGGGTAAGGTCAGAGAGAGAGGAGAAAAATGGGACAGAATGATTCATTAGTTATTTCTCTTGTTACATACTGAAAGCTTGCAATAAGTTATAAAAACAAAATGAGAATGACCATGAAAGTTTATTCTTGACTGCAAAAGACTACACTTAGCAGTGTTTGTGAAATATGTGTGAAATATACATACATCAAGACGGGCTGCTCTTTCGGACTCTCGCTTGAGATTTAAAGGTTGTTTTTTTTCTGTAATGGCGGATGCTGGCGCACCTTGGCTGCCGCTCCGTCTCCGTCTCTGACAATAGTCTATGATAAAGTTTTTGTCTCTTGATTTACGCCTCACCACAAACAAATTCACTGCTATCTACCTGCTTCTTACCTGTGAAGTCCCCCCACCGTCCTGCTAGCTCCAGGATTCCCGGGACTTACTCTTGGTATTCTTGCTAGCCTCGTCACCCTGCCATTCCTGCGGTGTTTCCCTGCCATCTCCTTTGCCAGCTCAAGCCCACCTGCCCGTCCTCCCAGGATCTTTTCGTCCCGGTGTGGTCGGTTTTACCGGGCTTTGGCTTTGGCTTCCTCCGCTGGCCACCACCGCATCAGGCTGACAACCTCCTCTCCTCACCTGGACCGCCAGGCTAGCCGGCCGGTGTCTCGGTTTAACTGGTGCCTGGTACGCACATGTCGAAGTTGGCAGAGATACTGAACCCCAAATTGTTTCCGATGCCTGCATCGGTCGTGTGTGAATGTGTATGATGTGTTGTTCTGTTCGATGGCTTTGCCATCACTGTGTGAATGTGTGTCGAAGGTGATGTGGAATGAAGACTAGAAAGGCACTATACAAAGTACAGGTCCTTCTTACCATTTACCATTCCCCGCACCCCCAACTACAGACTTATAAACTTATATCACTTTGAAAATGTCTGTAGTTATTTGAAATGTGCATGGCAGATACGAGTACAGTCAGTGAGTAAAATGTGTTAAAACCTGCAAGAATCCCAATTCAGCCGATCAGAGCCGGAAAGAAAGTTGCTTGGGCTTGAGGCTTGAAGATAGCTGAATTGTTGAGTCTCAATCCCAGGGTCCAAAAGCATCTGTATTTGGGATGCCTCGGAATGAGGAGGTGGTAACAATTAAACTATATAAGACTACCTTCCTTAGCTCCGGCTGGAGGTTGAATTCTTGCAAACGCGCATTGGGAGTGCGTCAGGCCAGATTACCGAGATCACAAGATCATTCTGTGCTCATTGTGACTGACTGTAGGGCTGAGTGCACACGTGAAGGCGTTTCAGGCATAGAAGAAACACTGATTTTATTAAAAGTTCCCTGACTGCATCTAAATCGGCAACAAAAGTTCAGATTAAAATCATGTTCTATGATGTATGGATTCATGCATTTCAGTCTGGGCAAAATGTTTGTGCCACCTAGACAAGTGAAGCTAAATTGTCAAGCGCAGTTGCTCTTGATCTGAATGTGCTGATCACCAACCACTGGGTTGCTGCACCAGAGCGGAGTGCGAGGGTGGAACATCTGATGCTCCAGAATGAGTTTCTAAGCAAAGTTTGCTGCAGCATGCCTTGTTTACAGCGGTAGCGGAGCATAATTAGCAGCTAGTGAATGAACACCATCATAAGGTTCAACGCAAGGACAGCGATCATATCACTATTCTGTGGGAAACATGCAGCGGTGTAGGTCGTCGCGGCACGCGTAGTAGCTTTCATTTGAGCCAGTTGCGAGCAGGAGTAGGAGAGAGATAGGAAACAGTGCGGCGAGAGGAGAAGGGTTATGACATTGCTAACAATCCAGTGAAAGCTGAAGTTTTGCCAGTCATGTGATGTGCGCCATAAACCATAACCATAAAACATGGTTCCCACATATCGAGATTCAATTCAATGTCAATTTATTTGTATTAGCGCCCAATTCATAACAGAAGTGTATCTCAGGATCATTTTCAAATAGAGGCAGGTCTAGACGAACTCCTTTTAACATTTACAGAGAACCACAGTACTCACCATGAGCAAGACCTTGGCAAGCACAGGGCAAGGAAAAACTTGCCTGTTAACAGGCGAAACGGTAGGAGCAGACCCTTCGGCTCTAGGTGGCGTGGTCGTCGTGTCTCGACCAGTGGAGGAGAGGACAGACAAGCAGGACAGGACAGAGAGACAGACAGACTGCATTAGCAACAACGAGTATTGGTTGAATGCAATCCAGCAGGGACCATGCAGGAGCTCCACCAGGGATCGAAAAGAACCTGCAACGACAGATAAAGCACAGAGAACTCCGGGGAAGAAGTGAAAGTTGAGTAACAGGCATTAATGGGACTGAGATGAGGCAGAAAGCGGAGAGAGAGGAAGAGAGGAGAACAGTTCGACGCATGGGAAACTCCCCCGGATGAGCTAGGGGCCCTATAGCAGGCATAAACTAAGAGATGGTTCATGGACTCAGCCTCGATCCAGCCCGGTACTACTATAACTTTATCAAAGAGAACTTCGCTTAAGCCTACTCTTTACAGGTGTCTGCAGAAAATCTTTGAAAGATGTATTTTCCAGCCATTGGAAAAACCTTGGCAAGTGATTTAAAAATCCTGAGAAAGGTAGATCTATGTGTCGTGAAATGTTTATTGTAGTTTTACCCTAGCCCCTTAAGCTGAGGCTACTTTTTCTAAATTATATCAGTTTTGTGTTAGAAGTGCTATCCTGAATTGTAAGAAATCTCTTCTGGATAATATCCTGGAAAGCTTCTTAAATAGAGTGGATAAAAGTCTGAACTCCATCATTTTGCATCCTACTGATTTCTTCACAGTTGGTTCTCCTTGAAGTATTAAGAGGAGGGTTTGTTGTTCATTTCCAAGGTGCAAAATTATACTTTCTGTCCATCTGGCGCAAGATGGTTAGTGTGAATAATTCGATGTTGTGCTGTTTTTTTTTCCATATGTTGCCAGCATTTGTCCTGATAGTTGTACTCATTTAGAATGCGGCGCTAAATGGGGTCCAAGTAGACGATATAAAACTGCAAGTAACCATAGAACATAGATTTCTCCCTCATGTGTATTTTCAATCACTAACTGCTGCTGAGAGAGAGTATTTTTAGTGTCAGGTCAGTTTTTAGATACCTCTGTGCTTGTTCTGCTCTCTGCCCCCCCTCTCAGGTCTCGTACATTTCTGTAGTTGAGCTCTGACCATCTGTAACTCCCTCCTTCACCCTCGCGGGACTCCTCCATCGCCCTCCCCTTCGCACCCCCTCACCCTGAAGAACTAGCCCCCACCGGCCCAGTTCTGCCCTCCTCCAGGAACTACCCCTGCACTTCACTCTCCCAACCTTGCCTAGGAGGTCCCGCCCCTGGTTCCTCTTTTCCTACCGCACTCCCTTGTCCCTGGGCCCCACGATCCTGCCTGGTTCTCTAGAGAACACTTCGCCTGGGTTGGCCGGGACTGCAGGCCGCAAGCCCCCATCCCCAGGAGACATGTCGCTCACCCGGGGCATGCACACCATCGAGCAGGACCCCACTGGTCTGCGGCCCCGCAGAGGGCAGGGGAGGACCTTGTTTGTGCCTGACGGACCCAGGTAGAGCAGGAGGATGTGAAGTCTCTCGCCAGCTACTCCGATGGACAGTTGGTGGTCAGTCGTTCGCTCGCAGGGGATGCTCAACTTCCGAGAACCCAGGGCAAGACGAGACGGCAGTGGCAGAACTGCTCAAACCATGGCCTCTGTCCACCAGGAAGCGCTCGGGTCTCGGGCTCGCGAGGAGGAGCAGAATCTGGTCACCATGGTTCCCACCACAGCAGGCAACAACCCCACAGATAGGACGGTTGCGGGTCTCGCTCGCCCACGATCCTGCAGCTCCTCCGCCCCTTCTACTACCTCCACCGGCCCGTATCAACTCCTTCCCTCCTTCCGGCCCCTCTGTGGTCCTGCCCCTTTGCCACCTTTGAACGTGCCAACGCAACCTTACAGCCCCTCCTCGGGGTGGTCTGGGGACTCGTTTTGTCTGGCAAGGACCCAGCTCCAGCAGATGGCGGTGAGATGCAGCCTGCCACGCCAGGCCAGCCGCCATTGGTCTACCGCTCCAGATCACCAGCTGCAGAGGAACCAGCTGAGCCAGCAGGACGGCACCTCCACCAGCACCAACCACCACCTGGCTTAAGCAAGCGAAGACCCAGCGTCATCCAACATCAACAGCAGACGGACGAGCGGGGAGGACAGAGAGAGGAGCATTGGAAAATGATGAGGAGCTTGAGAGGAGGAAGGAAGGGATTTTGGG